CATGGGCCCTTCCTTCAGCCTGGTCTTCCTGGGGAGAAATGGCACAGACAGGTAAATGTCCATCCTACCCCTTCAGCACGCCAGGAGAGCCTGTGGCCATGGCCTGGCTTTCTGCCTCCCTCCAGAGACTAAGCCCAGGCAAGCGCTGTCACCTGGCACTGCCTCTGCAGCAGATCACCCACCATCCCCCATGTGCTCTGCAAATGGCTGTGCAGGGACATGCCCCATCCCTACGTCTGGCCAGGAGCAGGAGCATCTGCCTGGGTCTGGATGGATGGCTGACAACCCCATGCTTGCGTCAAGAGGTGCCCCTGTTGAAAAGTTGGGGCCAGCTCCACCATCAGTATGGGACACAGCCAGATGGCAAGAGACTCTGGTTACAACAGCAATACAGAAGCTGAGCACCTGTGTTTTGAAACTCCCCTCATGTTTCGAAGCAGACAGGCCAGTTTAGTAAAGGGTCAGAGGAGAGCGCGGCTGGGGGCAGCCCACTCGGTGCTCCTGCAGCCACTGCTCAGAGCGGTCCCAGGAGGGATACGAGAGACTTCATGCTCTAGGATTTTCAAACAACAGGGCCTTGGGAGAGACAACCACAGCATTGCCTCCCTTTGCAGAAATAAAACCTCAGTGTTATGACTGTTGGGGTTTGCTATATTTGCTATATGTAAGTGCTATATTTACCTTGCTCAAAATAGGAAGAAGTTCTCTTTTATATACCTATCACAGAATAGTTTGGGTTGGAAGGATCTTTCAAAAGTCATCTAGTCCAACCCCCCTGCAATGATCAGGGATATAATACATACACCTATATATGTAGGGTCTACATGTATGAACAGTATATATCTGGTCATGTATCCATATATCTATCCAGACAGACAGATAAAAGCACAGGTTCAGAGGGAACCTGAAACAGAGAAGCTGCTGGTTGGGTCTAGAAGCGGCACCGACTGCCTGGCAGCGGGCAGCAGCAGACGCCATACATCTGATGTGCTGGCCTCCTTTGCAAGGAGCCTTACTTGGTGCAATCCAGGATTCCTGAGTAGGTGTCCTCATTCACTCCTCTCTGCAAGGACTGCAGCCGAGTTTTGATCACTGGGGAGAAAGAGAGAAGAGACAGTGGTAAGCACTGGGAATGTAGCACGCTCTTCAGCAGGCAAGAGCCACCCTGAGAGTAATGTCTTTGGAACACAGTCAAAACAAGATCACCAAGAACACGACCATTTTCATTTATTTATCAGCAAAACAGGGGAAACCAAACCCATTCTTTTACAAATGGATAAAAGAAAAAACACAGCCACCCCAAACCCAATCCCCTCCCCTCACTGTGACCAAGGATTCCAAGGCTGACTTAAGGTTTAAACACTTCCAAATTCAGATATCTTTCTGCAAAGTAGGAACTGATTTTCAAATACTCAGCTCCTTCTGGAAGAAGTATCTAAAATATACGATGCTGTTCTTACATTTCTTCACACCTTGGAGCATGTGCAATGTTGGGAAGTGAGGAGTTACTTTCCAGTAATGTTCACAGCAGAGAAACCAAGGTGGTACTTAAGGCAGATGCTGTGGAGCAGGAGAAAAGGCCACAGATCTGAGGCTCCCTCTGGTTGTCCATGACTGTGTGAATGTAAACACCATCACTCCACACAGAAATGTGCCTTTTCAGGGGCACGCTCACAGCCATTCCTGCAAACAATGACTGAAACGAGTGACTTATCTAGCAAGTACCGCAAACCTCTGGTAAGCTGTGGCCAAAGGTATAGCTCAGCTGAAGGAAACATCACCTGAGCTGGAGGCAGCTCAGACAGCAGAGCTCCCCTCCTGTACCTCCCATGTACACACATGCTGCAAAGAGGCTGGCACGGTCACCCTCCTCCTTGCCTAGCCCATTTGTAGGCCTCCGACTCCTGTCACTCAGCATGAGGCCACAGGCTACTCGGGACTCACCATCGCAAGGATTAACAGCCACTGCAGCCGTACTGCCAGCCACACATCCAGAGAGGAAGGACACATAGAACGGAGCCTTGACATTGGGGTCTTTCTGGCCCAGCTTGTTCAGGTTTGCAAACAGTGGGAAGTAAACAATGGAGAAGGGGACATCCCTGTGGTGGGGAGGGTGGAAAGAGAAGAAAGAAAAACAAGGATGAGCAAAGTCAGAGCAGGACAGCAACAAACTCAGCATCAAAGGAAGGGCTGCAAGCATCACGCACTGGCAGCGCAGCCACGAGTGCAATGCAGACATCCTAGCTCTGCAATTGCAATGCAGACAGGAGCCAAAACCCAGCAGGGGCAAAACCGATGGCACAAAGGACAACAGGCCACGAGGGGCATGCAGCCCTGCAGAGTCAATGGCCTCACCCTGATTTTTCAACACTCAAACCAAAGACCCCAGCACATTCAGAGGTCAATTGTTTTGTCCACTTTTGCTAATTACAAGAGGTTCACATCCTACCCTTCATCCCACTGGGCGTTGCTTTAACGCTGCCTTTGTTAAAGGTAGAGGAGAGTCACTCTGTGAAAGCCCAGGTAAACCATGTCAGAGCAAGCACCAGCCCTTGCATCCAGCATGCTCCATGGGCCAGAACCTGTTTCACACTCTGGAGACTCAGGCTGACAGTTTTGCTTTGCTAGCTCACAAGGACTTCTCCACAGCATTAAAATACAGACCACGAGGGACACAAAAACCTTCCACAGAAAGCAGCAGAATTAAATCTTCCAGAAACAGAAAGGCGGCCTCTCTTGCTTCCTTGACCTCCCCTTCTCTAATGCGCAAAACCTGTGCATGGAAACCAAACCAAATCAAACCCACACCCCCTGAAGCCAACACCCTCTTTGCAGGCTCATCCCCTGGACGGCTGCTGCTTTAGGTTCAATACCGGGAACACGGGTGCCCTGTGCTCGAGCTCACGCCACCCTACCTCAGCAACGTGGCTCCCAGGCCCTTGTAGAGTCCCGCGATGCCTTTGCTCCGCAGCAGCTCCCTTGTTATCTGTGTTGCTGTGGTCCGCGTTTCCATCGCTGGCTCCGCTGCCCCCACCGCAGAGGAAGAGGAGAGCTGGGCCTGCGCTGCCATCAGCTTCTTCTGTGCCGCTGGGGACAAGCGGAGAGAGCACTGGTCTGCAAGATGCTCAATAGCAGTCTCTTGCTGCCCGGTGCCACGGGACAAGCAGGAAGAGGCAGATCTCCAGGTGCACCAAAACATGCAGGCTAAGACCAGTTAGGTGCCCTGCAAGCTTTTGCTCCCATCTCCCTCAGCCTGAGACAACCCAGCTCGCCCCAGTCTCGGAGCTGGCTGCTGCCACACCACAATGCTGTCTGCTGCACTCTCCTGCCGAGTGGTTTTACCCGAGTAGGAGCAGCCTGTCAGGCATGACCTCTGCGGTGCAGAGAAAAGGAGCTGCCACGAGCAGGCAGATGACAGTACCTGCTTCCAGCAACCTCCCCAAGCCCCAGGTAGGACATGCTGAAGATATTCATAAACAAGAAAGGTTCAACAGTTCTGTGCTTTGTTTCCTTCCCTTGAAAGCAATCATTAACCTGTGGAGTTCCTCAGCCACATTTATAAATGCAACCTGGTTTCTCCCAGCCTTTTCAAACTGATGCATTTCTGCTCTTTGGCCAGAAGATGGAGAGCATTGTAGGCAATCCTCTGGCTGCCACAGGCACACCACAGAGAACAGGCTGTTCGCAGTAGCAAAAACCTCTTCTGAACCCTAACCACGGTTTAATTCCTTCAAAAATTTTAAAATAATATGCACAAACAGGATAAGGTCTACATTAAAAACGGTGAAGAGTTTTTTGGCCCTTTTTCCAGGAAAGGCCACAAAAATGGTATCTGATGGTTTCTAACGGTGTCACGCAGTGCTCCTGGGGAACAAGGCTATACCCCAGGCTGACCTCTGGAAGAGATTAAGGTGATAGCAAACAGCTCTTTCCCCCAGTCTCCATGCCCGACTCTGGTCTCCGTTCTCATCAGAAATGCCCCACAGTGTTTCAGCCAAAAGCCTCGCACTCCCTCCTGCCCCTTCCTGCTAGCTCCTGCCCACAGCCCCGAGAGCCTGACCCCAAATCTCTTCCAAATCCAGTGCACTGGGAGAATTTTATTTACTGTTTCAGCAGAGACAACTGCTGGTTTTGTCAGGGGGAAAAAAAAAACAAACAGAGAGTAAGAAGGGTGACAAGTCATTTGGAAAGGACACATGGCCTTGGGAAGCTGTTAGGGAGGTGCTACAGGGGGGTAGAAGAGAGAGAACAGACATCAGAAAAGATGGAGATGGAGAAAGCACCACAGGAGCAGCACTGGAGGATGCCACCTTTCTTGGGTGCACAGTAACTAACAAGTTTTAATCACTCACAAGCTGACCACCCAACCACCTCTCCTGTTTCTCTCCATCCACCAGCAGCATTTGCTGTTTCACTTGTCAAACTTATTGCTTCAAGCAAAAAAAAATCATCACTGTTTGTAACTTCGAGGGCCTCTGCAAATCCAGGTGAGCAAAGAGCAGGGGGAAATGAGCTGGGAAGAGGAGGAGAAACTTCTGCTACAGCCTGAGATACCTCTGACTTAGGAGAGCAGGGGAAGGAAAAGGGTTTTCTCTGCTCACTCCCTCCCCCTCTGCCTTGAGCCCAGTCCCAGCCCTTGTCTCTCCTGCCTGCTCAGTGCACAGGGAAGAAAAGCCCACGTACCAATTCGCCCTGCATCCTGCAGCTGGATTTTGAGCATCTCCATGGGAGTGGTGACAATCACCTGGCAGGTACCCGCGCCGCAGCCTGCCAGCATCTCCCTCAGCAGCGTCAGCTTTTTCCTGCCCAAAGAAAAGAGAAATAGTCGGTCAGAGGAAGTGGCCTGGAGTAACACTGGGGCAGCTGGGTGCAGGGGCTCAGGGCACACCGCTGAGCCTGGGGTTTACAAGAGAGGAAGCCCAGGGGATGGTGGAACCTGCTAGGCTTGACAGTTCAGCTTAGCCTAGGCTTTGCAGATCTGCCGGCGTCCCCTGATCTGGAGGAAAAGACCCATTTCGGTCCCAGAAACAGAACATGCAGAAAAAGCCACACGCCCAGCCAGAACAGCCCAAGACAGGAGCGCACAACCCTCTCTGTCCCTGGACAGCGAGCTGCAGCTCTCTTGCAGCCCTGTGTTTCCCCCGGTCAGGGCGCAGCCTTCAGAAAGGGTATCACTTCGGAAGGCAGAAGAGGACCCAAGCATTAAGGGGGATAAGCAGCTCTCCTTCTGCCAGTGTAGTCCTTTAAACACTGTCAACATCCCCACAAACAAACAAACAGAGACCACAGGGCAAGGAGCAAGATGGGAAAACATTCAAGTTGCTGCTTTGGAGTTCTCCAACAAAAGCAAAATAGACAGCAAACATGAGAGTCAGGGAGGCAGTTCCCCTGTGCTTAGGGATGACTTCACCTCACCAGCCTTTCCAAATCTGAAAAAGTAGCCTTTGCACTAAATCTGTCCCGCCTGAGGGACAAGGGATGGGATGGACCCCCAGCACCACAGCTTTGTGCATCCCCTGCACTAGAGAGCAGGGATTACAAGCGACATGTTCTTGCCTAACAAAATGCACCATTTCACAGCTTCCTCCATTCCAAAGCCACGAAATAGCCCAGTTAAGACTAAAAAGAAGAACTCAGGATGCAAATGCTCAGAAAGCCTCAATTTTCAGAAACTGATGAGTTTTCACCCTGTGAAAAATCTCACCCCTTGGCACCAGAAAACATCGACTTGATTTAAAAAAAGTGCCTCTAATCTGCTCTGCTGTTAAGCTGGGGGAGGAGCCTATCTAAATCACACAGCCAGAGGGAAACAGCCGCCTCTTTTTTCTGTTTTAAATGCAAGCACTACTTTTACTTCCCCTAGCCCTGCTCCCACAGCAATACCTCATCTTAACCTACTCAAGGCGAGTCCCCAACACTACGACAAAAGCAGTCCCACAATGACATGCCCTATTCTCTTGCAAAACCAAGCCACACTCCCTTACTGGGGGTTTCATATGCACACACACAGAGCACAGCTATGGCACTGTGGGCCAGCAAAAAAGTTTCAATGCCAAGCCTACAGGAAAGGGAGGGTATGATCCTGCTGGCCCACCACATCAGCCGGGCCAGTTTCTCCACCTCTCATCTTCTCCAGGGAGGATATCAGAGCAGGGGATTAGAGGCACAGAGCCACAAAGGAGATTACCAGCAACTAAATATAGAGCTCTCCTGTGAGGATGAAGGGAGGAACATTTCACGGTCTCCCCTTTCCAGATTCCCCCAGAGATGGGAAGCTGCAAAGAACAATCCCTCCCATGGAGTTACCCACATGGGTGCTGAAGCATGCGCAGCAAGTTTTCCTGGAGGTATGCAGGTATCAGGGTGTGTAAATCCAGAGGTCTTCCCTGGCACTGACACCTGGAAGTGGCCAACTTGTGCCTCTTGGGTGGCCTGGAGCACAGCGTCAGTCTCTGCTGGCTTGATAGTCAGCAGCAAGGCTGCACAACCCCTGCCCAGCCGTGGGAGGAAGCAAACCACACAAAGGAGCTGGCTGACAGTCCCTCTACCCACAGCAGAGCATCTCTCACATTAGCAAGCGCCCTGAAGCACACCTGGAGTACACGTCTCCTGGCTTCCATCCAGGGCGACTGCTTTGATACCCAGTTCAAAAGATCACGAAGATTTTCCCTATGTGTTCATCTGTGGACCATTATCCCAGCCAACAAAAGTCAGCCTGGCTTGACTGAACTTCATGGAGCTATGTCAGTGTGATCCAGCAAAGGATTTATGTGTGTGGGTGTATTTTAGAGATGTCAAACAGGTACATCAGAAGTATCTAGAACAAGGGCTTTCAGCTTTTGGTTTACATATCCTGGGAACTGTGGGAGGTCCAAGAGAAAAAATAGCATAAGATGAGCAAATCTTCTGTCAAGAGGTTTAAAATTTGCCACGCAGGGGTCAAACCCTCTTTGTAAAACCTCACCAGTCTGCACATAAAAGGAGTCTGAAGAGGGTTCATCTCTAGGTGACAAAGGGGTTTAAATATTTAAGGCACCACAGGCCTTATCCTCAGTGGTTTAAAAACTGGCGCATCTCAACTGACTTCAAAAGCTGCAACACTAGCAAGGATCTGGTCCTACAAATGTAGAAACCATCTTTTATCACAGCAAGAGGGCGTTAAATATAACATGTACACAATAGCCCCAAACTCTGCACTAGCAGATATCAGTCGTTCCACTTTTTTAACTGACATGCAATTACTGACAAATCAACGATGTCAAATGGGAAGGGGAGCAGATTCATGCTCCATCTAAATTACAGTTTCAAACTAAAGCTGAAAAATCAGGAAGTCAAAAAGTGGGAACTAGAGGTTTATGGAGGGATTTTCAAAGCAGTTAATCAATCCAAAGTTAGGATCTCTGAAAGCGCTGGTATATTGATGTCACAGGGGAGCAGAGAAGGACTTTTTCCAAGTTTCTGAAAAATCTTGACCATGTAGGAGTTGACTGTACTTGGGCAGGGACCAAAACCAGTCATTCTGGAATAAGGATGACAAGATTTCCAAAGACAGGAAGTCTTTGACCTAAGGAAACATCCATACAAAGCCATATGCTCCTACTTGCTGTCCAAGACGCTACTGTCCCCAGCTTGGGCATCACCTTCCTCACTCATAAAATAACCTCTGCCTCTAGTCTGTCAACGCAACAGGCTGTAGAAAGCTCTCCAAGAGTTTCAAGCCAGAAAGAGTAAGCTGCTTTCAAACAATTTAAATAGTGGGTCTTTGATATGGACAAACACACAGGAGTTGTCCTTCAAAGGGAGGGCAACTTGTCTGCCACAGTCACACAGAGACCTGCACACAAACTGCCAGTCAGTCCCTTTAACCCAATCTGTGATCTTCCAAGAGGTGACAATAAGCTATTGCAAACGTGCTTCAGAAACGCTAGAGCTACGATGCTGGCAAACGTAAAAGCAAGAAAGTTCCTACTACAAGCTCCCCCTAACCTCTAGTGCCAGCTCAAACGTCTCAGAAAAGCAAGACAAAGGACTGATGAAGGACAGATCCACCTCAAAGTAATGCCACCAGATTAAATGCTGCTCTGGCAGATGTTACTCCAGGTATGGTACAACTTGCCTCCGGCTGCAGTAGCTGTGTGTTGCCTGTCTGGACTAAGCCAAGAGGAAGGTGACTCTGCGCCTGCACCCATTACATCAGGTTTGCCCTGGCAGGAGATCCCAAGTGTTTTGCTCCAATACGAATGTCTGTGGAAGTGAACAATGGACAGGGCAACGTGTCTGAGCACGCTGAACACAGACAGAACCCGTGTTTTGTTCCAAGACGTACACCTCGAATGGAGACAAGGGCAACGCTCCTCTCATGAGTGCATTCTGTGATTAAGTAGCCCATCTCTAGCTCCCTCTAGATTAACAGTCGAAAGTGCATTTACTTTCTGGCTGACCTTTGATGTCTCTAACTTCAACCCACCGTAACTCCCTGAGCCTCTCTGTGCTAAATAAAAGAGACCCCCTCAAACAGCTATCCCCAAATAGGCACAGTGAGATTATCAGCTCGTAACTGGCTCCTTCTAGGAGAAGGGCTGGATTCCCCCACCTACAGGTCCCAGTGGGTTGGATGAGGGTTATCTGCATCAAGTAAGTGTGTGGACATCCAGTGAATAACTACAGGAGAGGATACCTTGGCCCACAAGGGTTCCTGCCCAGAGAATGACCAAAGCACAGTGTGTGCAAGGTGACACAGCAGCTCACCACCAGGATTATCAGCAGCATCCCTCCTTCCTAAATCAAGAGCCTCGCTTTATGGCCCATATATGAGCATTTTGCAGCTCAAGGATCAGCCAGGCCAGGCAATGGCTACTTAAACAGGTGCCACAGAAGAGATGGTCTGAGTATTTTAGGAGAGCCTGAAAGAGGGGCAGATGAAGCAAGTAGCCCTGGGGAGACGTATCAGCCGGGAAGGCAATGCAGAACAAGCTCCAGTCTCCCCATCTGCATGGGAGAGTAGGAAAAGTGCCTTGCTTGTCTCAGGATTACAGCTGGCTATTTCTCTTCTCTGACCAAAGCTACACGGCAGGCGGAAGCACAAAGGAGGAAAATTTGCTGGCATCAGCAAAGACACAAGTAACACAATTGTGCTGGTCTTCCTAGGAATGCGAGCTGTTAAGTCAGCAGATTGCCAGCCTTTGCTCCAGAACAACAAACAAAATGAAGGTCAAGATTAAAAAGGACAGGAGACATAAAGGAATAACACACCTCAGAGAAGAGCAGCAAGAAACCCATCCAGGGACACTGGAGAGTTTTTATGAGCAAGAAATCATTTTTATAAGAAGCCATAAAATGCTTGTTACCGCAGCCAAGGCAGAGTATTTAACCAAGAACCTGAAAAATGAACAACAAAACCTGGCAAACACATGCCGTACACAACAGCTGTCTGCCACTCAACACTTTGAGGATAAACATGAAACACTGCAGGACGCTTTAAAGGGACTGTTTTTTATGAAGCATTTAACGTCCAGATTCAAAAAGAACATAAAAAGTAGGCAATACTTACATCTATCAAAGAGGCCTCACACACTGAGCACCCAAAAATCAACAATGTACTTTAAATGCATGCTGGTGTACTACCAATCTAGACCACTTTCTTAGTTTCATACCCAAGTGCTTCATACTCAAGTGCTTCACTTAGCCTAGTGACTCCTCGCATCCTCTGCTCTGGACAGTAAAGCTGCTGCTATTTTAACAGCAGCTGTGAGATGATTGGTTTCTCAACACATCCAGCTTCAGAAATCCAGAGGGGGGAAAAAAACAAAATCCCATCTGTTTCCAGCAGCCTGAAGTTGGAAAGTTGGAAGTTTCTCCTCCCTCGCGCATCCTGCCGTCCCCAGCCGTGTGGCCCAGCCATCATAGAGTGGCACAGGAGCAAGGACCTACCTGAAGACTCTTTTGTGGGTCACCTCTTCTACTTCTTCTCCTGGGAACTGTAGACGCCCTTACATCAAAATCATCACAGGACAATGTCTGACCCTTTTTGCCTTTCTCAATCAGGGTCATGGGGTGCCCTTCAGATTTTTCAGCATCTTGGATTTCCTCCTTTCCTCCACGGCATAGCAAGGGGGTTTCCAGCACTCACATAACTCACCCATGCCTCCCTTGTTCCTAAATGATCAGGACAGCTTGGGAGGACCAACACAGTTTTGTTTCCTTATGAAACAAGAAGCTGTAGCAGTAGGCGGTCATAATGTTCTTGACAACAAAACAGAAACAGTCAAAGAAGCAGAAACCAAGTCCCCTGGCCTGTGAGCACGCATCCTTCCTGCACCAAAAGGAGGGGAAAAGCATTGTACAGGCAGGAGTGCCCCCCTCCCCCCAGCTAGTCCCAGAGCAGAGAGGGCTGCAAGAACAGACATGTCCTGCTGCCCCAATACTCTACCTCCAGCAACATCCAAGAGCATGGCCAGGGAAAAGGAAGTCTAGCACAAATCTGCAGTGATACATCCCCAAAATACTCTTCCAGCAATTTGCAGCCAGGCGCTTCCTACACCACAGGTGTTGTTTTCAGTATGGTCTTTCGAAAACAGGCTTTATGCCACTTTTCTTTCTAGCAGTTTAAAAGTAATTTCATTTCAACACAAAGTTTTTCAAAGGATAAAATAAAAAAATTAATGCACACTAAAAGTTATTGTGTAACTTGAGGCTATTACGGGTTGTGCTGGATTTGCCACACTCTGGTCCATGTGTTTCTTCCACTTGCACATGGAGGACACAGCATAATCAGCAAACATCGACAGAACACGCACATTTTATCAGACACATTTCAAGCAAGACAAGTGTTAGAAGCGTAACAACAAAGGCATTCAATGTCAAACAGGTCTAGAAGACTTCTGCAGCTCTGAGTCAGAAAACCACCACAGCATCCTTTGGGATGCTGGCCTAAGAGTACAGAATACTATGCATGTATACCAGGTAGCCTGGCTTGCACAAAAAAGACTTTGGTAGAGCTGAACCAAGATCTTGGTGGCTCACCATGAAAACACAGGCCCCAGCCTTACACTGAGCCTAAGTCCCTCAGCTGAGCTTTACACCATATACCACCTTGGCTGTTACAATTACATATCCAGAAATGAAACCACATTGACATGCCAGGCAGCTTGAATCTTCACCTTTCTAACCTCAGGCTATTTTGCTGCTCATACCTAGGCTTTGACTGGAGTTGTGAAACAGGTGGCCCAGCCTTGCGATGTGCTAGCAGGTATGTAACCTGTTCTGCCCTGGGTAGGAGAGGAGTTTGGATTCCAGCACTGCTAATCCTGCCCTGTCTTACAAAGGTAACTAGGGACAAGGGGACAGAAGAAGCAGCTTGCAGACTGCAAAGAGCTTGCTTCCTCCCAAAAAGAGGGAGCAAGAGCAAGGCAAACCCTTGGGTAACATACAGCTTTGTCACCCAGTGAAACGGCCCCTTGCCATCACTCCTATTTGCCACGTGCTACACATCTACAGATGGGAGAAATTCCTGTGAAGTGCCAAAGGCAAGGCAGCATGCAATGACTGCAGCACAGCCAGGCACAACCCCTCCGGGCAGGTTACATACCCTACCCCCAGGCCTGGGATTTCCCTAGCATGGAGGAAAAGGATCGCACAATAAGCAGCTGCCCTGCAGTTTCTAAGGGCCCTTATCCTCACTGGTAATGTCATGGCCTTTTCCATCACCCCCTGCTCCCCATACACTAAGCAAGGTCACAACAAGCACCAAACCTTCCAGCTAGATCCCAGGTTCATAGCCTATACCAGCCACAGCCAACCTGCAAAGCATTTTCTTTCCCAATCACATCTTGGAGTGACATTTCTAGTTAGAAACACCTTAAACCATCTATCACAGCAGTATCAAGGCGCTGCCTCTCTGTCCAGCCCATGCTGGCTATCCTCACAAGCACAGCTGACCAGATTTCTTTCATCCAAGACCTCCATGGATGTCAAATGAGATGTGACCCCAACTCCACATGCTGCCTAGCTCTTGTCACCTAACTGTGGCCTAACCTTTCTCTTCTCTAAGGGAATTAAAAATGCTTTGTGTTGAGACACAAAGGCTCCCCACTACCCAAGCGGTATCACACTCCTGCCCCAGGAGGTACACTGTACTCTAGTGCATATGTTTTAGGAGAACAGGTTGTCTTACTCTTGGCAAAACTCTCTAGCACCTTTATTCTGAATCAAGCACACCACATTGCCCACGTCATGTGTGGATCAGCCAGGAACCCAGAATTCAAACTGGAAGAGGTTTGGGTGAAGACCGCAGTTGCTTGTGGAAACAGCTGCATCCCAGTTACTCAAAACACCTGCACAAAGCCTGCCTCAGCACTGGGAGGAAGATACACACATTTGTCCCACGGGGAAGTCTTTACCTCTCATGGTGCAGGACACCTATTGACAGGCATGTCATGTTCTAATGGCTGAAACATCACAGCAGTGACTGCTCTCTCAGAACGCCAAACATGTTGCATTGCTGGTCTGATGTCTTCCATGGGCCATTCTCTCAGCAGTGGTACAAGGCATGGCAGCTTGGCACCCTTTCATATTCCCTGTACAACCTACTCAGCCCTCACTTCGTAGGTGGTGGCAAAGAGCTAGCTGTGCTCCTGTCTACTGCAGCATGCCAAGGCCTCCCACGTTGTCCGCTGCAGGGACCAGACCCACTGCTTGGTAGAAGCGAGGAGCAATGAGGACATCATTACCTCCCACTGTCTGAGCAGAGCACAGAAGAGACACTATTTGAAGAGACAGAAAAATCACAAACAGCTGCGAGCCGATGAGTCACACAGACATATGTTAGCTGCTACTTTAAAACACTCTAGAACAAAAAGATTAGGCACATGGAAAAAAATAGATCCTCAACCTGTGTCAGTCCACAATCTCCACTGAAGTTGTTGAGCCACTGATCTGCAGCAGCCGAGACTGGTACATTATGGGAACTTGTTAAGCCAAGTAATTGTGGCAGAACTTTGCATTTTCAGTGAGTCTCCACCCCATCATTGCTGATGGGAAAAGTCAGGATCATGTCCCAAACAGGCTATTTTCTAACTACTGTTGCTGAGGACTGGAGACAGTTCCCTTCACTGGCACTGGAGAAAGGTCTCAGTTCAAAGGGAGATGCAAGTGTCCTCTAAATTGCAATGGAAATATCAGCATCAAGGTGAAAACAGCATTAAATATTCAGAGTCCAGCTTCTCTCAACCACTGAGCTATCATCTTTCACTCACCTTTAACTCATATGAACCAATCCCCACTTGCAAGCTAAACAGGTAATTTTATTCCTTCAGCATTCATTTGCAGGTCAGCTGCTGGGCAACAGTGCAAGTGCCTTCTGTCAATTCAGATTCACCACCTCTCTAAAACTATTTTCAAGCTACAAAAGGACAAGAGGCATGCCAAGTTTGGGGTCTACAAAACTTGACTTGCCATCTGTTCAAGCCAGAAAGAGTACAACAGCATCCAATAGGATGCTGAGGACCATGGTCCTCCCAGCAGCTGTTTGAGCAGTGATCAGTGCCATTGGGTTCCTCTCAAGTATTTTGCCTACAAATTCTGGATCTGCTAACCTTGGCTTAGATCCTGGACTATTTTAGAAGCTTGAATAAAAAGCAGTCATCCAGTGGAGTGCTTTTCACTTCCCATTTTAGACATTACATCCTTAGCCCAAATGTAATCACTGGCTGAGCTGCTCAAGGTCAACTCATATATCAGTCCTCACATCACCCCATTCCACCTTTGCCCTGATGTCTCACCAGGCTTGACCTTGCAAGAGCTGGTGTCTTCTAATCTGAACATGAAAGGTCTGCACCCTCTACTCACCCGTCTTTGGAGAGGTGATGCCGGAAGAAATCATTGGCTGCCAGTTTGATAGCCTTTTCTGGTGTCACTAGAGTCAGGTTCACTGCAGCCCCTGGGCAAGGAAAAGAAGAAAAGGCCATTGGAGAATGAGAATAAAGGAACTGATAACTGGATCTTTCAGGAATGTGTTGTAACTCCTGCTGTTTTTATTTAAAAACATGAAGCACCACTGGAAGTTGACAGGATTTCTGCCTCTCAACACCTTGGGTTTTTTTAAAACATCCCCTGATGTGTTGCTGCTCCATCTGCAATATATTTCTTGTAATTCCTTTAGCTTCACTGCTACCTCCCCCATGCATACATGCATCCTCTTCTCTCATCCAAGGATGCATTCCTATGAATCCAGAAGAATGCAGATCAGACCTTCAAGAAAGGAGTACAAGTTGGATTAATAACCAGTCTCAACTTCTTTGCAAATATTTTGTGATGTTGAGAAGCAAAGCCCCCTGTCCCACCTTCTTTGCTAGTGCCCCTGCCCCCCACCACCAAAAGCAGAACAGCTTGTTTACCGGGCAGCCCAGAAAAGGCAGAGCCACTGAAAGACCTGGAGGCTGGTTGAAGTCAATCAGCTCTAGGCCAACCCGTGGAGTTAAGTAGCTTCCCTTGTACACCACCACTGGGTGTCACCCTCAGAACAGCCACCACTGAAGTGGCTTTTTGTCCTCCACAAGCTGCAGCGTGCAGAAAATCCCTGCGAGCACCGTGGCAAGCTTGGATCCCCTGCCACCCACTGGAGTGCCCTTTTATCAGGAGCAACAAACAGCAAATCCCTGTACTCTGCCTGCCACAATGCAAGGTCTGCTTGGCCTGGTCGGCTGCTGTGGGCCACCGACACCAGCATTAGTGCAACACAGCAGCTGGAAGGTAGCTTTCAAGCTGTCCTGGGGGGAATGGGGTGAGGGGAGGGTCAGTCCCTTCTGAGTATAAAGGGGTTTGCACCATTAGATTAATGCTCCAGAATATTCTCCTCCCTTTAAATCTTACGGCTCAAAAAGTCCTCCAGCAGATGACTGCAAGCGCTCCCTGCCTGCACTGAAGCATACTGAGCTTCAAGCCCTCCAGAGGAGCTTCATTTGAGAGTTGCTGATGGTCTATGAACATCTTTGCAAGGACAAACACAAATACTAGGGTATACCTTTTGCATTGATGCTCGCTGTAGAGATTTAAACAACTTGTCCCAAAGCTCTCTTGAGAAGAGAAGCAGAGAAGCCTGCACTCCCACCAGGCTCCAAAGACTTGGCGGGGTTCATTCTCAGGAGGTTTGCACACAAGTTGACAGGAGCTATAAGGGCTCAACACATCTAAAGAATGGCAATTCAGTCCTCTGTTCCTCAGGATAGACTCCCTTCCCTCCAAATATTATTAAAGAACTCCTAAATTAAACATGGTAAAACATAGGTTTAGAGGGACTTTCCTCAGAATAGGAAGCAAAGTTGTAACTAGGACTGCTGGGATCAGTACAAGTAGGACCAGGAATCCTTAGCTTCACATCCTCTGCTCAGAGGACACACCTCTACCATGCGGGAAATTGCAACAAGGAAACAGACAGCTTTTGCTGGGTAGGGCTGGGCAGCCCAACGCATTTTCCACCCTTCCGACTGCCATGTTCAGATTTTGCAGAAAATACAGAGTAAAACCACCTTGTAGCAAGCTAAGCCAATGCATTCATTCCACACTGGCCACGACATCCAACAAATGCCATCATCTTCTACAGGAGCCAAATTAACTAGACCGGAAGCAGGGCAGCCCTCTCACACTCCTGGGTTTCTGCAGACTTTTAAGTGCACCAGTGATTGTGCTGCTTTAGTTTGATGTGCTTCCTACACATTGTGTAAGCCACCTGCCGTGGCTCTTACATGTGATGAGAAGCCACACAGACATGATCCTCATGCTCTACCTCCACCTTTTAATGTCAATCATATCAGGATCTACAAAGCAAATCCACACAGCCTGATTTTTAAGTGAAAGTGGCTACCCGTGAATTGTTTCCTCAAATGCCAAGTTGAAGACAACTTCAACCCCGCCCCTAAGGGCTACAAAGCAAAACACCTGTATGTTACTGACATGCGGCATGAATAACCATTTCCTTGGAAAAACAAGGAGAGGAAAAAAAAAAGAATGAACCTGCTACTCTAACACCAGTGCAAAGGGTTCACTGAGAGAAAGCAAATTCCAAACCATCAACCAAGAAGTACATTTCCACGTGCTGACCTCCTCCAGGAACCAAGAGGCTTTCACAGCAATTTTTCCTTCAATTGAAAATAAAGTAGAAGGTAAAAACACACAATACAGAGAGACAAAATTAATGAACGCGGGTTCTCTCCTACATCTTTGATATTTTCAGTAAAGCTGCTTAGCAGAGAATGGATAATCCCTGTCCTCAATAATCCATAACAGCTTCAGTTCACTGGAGGAGGAGAAATTAGACACTTTAGCTGCTGGCTGTATGCCTTCCATGGCGTTTTCTATCTTTTTACAAAATGTGATAGCTCTTCAATTCTAGCTATGCCAATGACTCTATTTTCATAATTAAATCTAACCGTGGCCTATAGGCAACGCTACGTGTACCAGAAGCAATGACAGACAAAAAAAAGCAAAAATAAACTGCAATCATTAAAAAATTGGAAGTATTTTGAAACGAAGTACAGAAGCACAACAAAGAATAAAATGAAGTAGAGGCAAAACCAGTTATTTGCCAACTGAGCTTGTAAGTGCCCTCTTCTCACCGAGCCTTGCGTGTTGCTATTAAAACACATTTCTTGCCTTTATGTACCACCAGCAACCTACATAACAGAGGAATTGAGTCATCCCCAGTGCGGCACTGGTGCACGTGGGACGGATATTCACAGAGGCCATGGAAGGCTGCCACACTACTGCAGCTAAAATGCAGCTACCCCCAAAACACCACCAACAGCAAAGAGCATTTCCAGAACCTGATCGAGGCCTTTGCCTCCTGCCAGCTAGGCTAAATGGCTGGTCTGCAAACAGCAGTGGGACTTTCCAGCGCATATGCTGGGATCTATCAGTGGTTTCTGGATGGACTGAAGCAGGGAGCAGAGAGAACACCTCTCCTAGGTCCCCTTCCACCGGTGTCCACATGGTCCATGAGCCCACAGGCACCATGGATTCACTTGCTTGGCATCATGTCTGAAGCCAGCACACCGTCATCCCTGGAGGACAGACAGGGCTAGACAGCACCACCCAGCTTTGAGGCACTGCTTCTACCTAGATGTTGTGGAAAAAATCATGAGAAAAAACCTCCTATTCTTCCTCACCCAAACAAACCCAAGAATCCTTGCAACTTTTGGGGAAGAACTTGAGAGAAATGTTGAGATTGTCTTCTACATCACACAATTCACTATGGGCTACTCATGCAGAGCAAGCACTGTCTGCCCACATGCACTCCTTCAGAGATGATTTGCAGAAAAGCACCCCACAAGCTCAAGCCTCTCTCCTGTCTGCACTGGGGAGCTTTGATTCACATGTGAAGCAGACATGAAGTCACACAGTGGGAATGGCTGCGCCCAAACAGATCCTTTTTGTCCTCCAACAGAGGCAAAGTGCCCTGCAGGGACAACTGACGCGCTTGTGACTTCTCTGTGGGGCACAACAGCTGCCATTTTAGCACATTAACATAAAATCCTCCCAATTTCAGCTTAAAGGCTGAAAATAAGAGCTTGTGAGTCATACAGCAACTTCTGCTGGGGAACTGAGACAGATGGAGAGAGCCAGGAACCAATCCCATCATCCGATTTCCATCTTCCCCTGTCTGCAAGGCTAAACTGCCTCTTCAACTTCTTCCTAGAAAAGTACTCACATTCTTCATGAATCTTGGACGTATTTTACCCACCATCCTCTCCCTGAGAGGGAGGGAAGGGTTGCGAATATCAGCTCACAGAACTGAGGCACAGAGACCGGGATTGCTGTATTTGGAGGACCCACCTTTGCACCCTGGCCATGCTCAAATATTTATCAGTTTCTGGAAGGAGCTGGAGCTGTTCACAAAAGCCCTCTCCAAATCCAGCTCCCGACTGAATAGTCAGAGGTGACAAGCAAATTCAAACCACCATCAGCTCCCTGAACAGAGGGAGTACAAAGTTAGTGAGACATGGACCAGGCTGATGAGACTCATTACGGCTGGAAAAAACAAGAGCTATGCAAACCCGTCTACACACTTTGAGATTTCTGCTCAGGGGTGAAAAGCAGCCTGGAAATGCACTTCACCTCCACCACCTCCACTCAGGACTTACAGGACTGAGCTGTCTCTCCCACAGGCCCTGATGGGTCCTACAGTCTTCCCTGTAAGTTTCCAGAGCATCATCATCCTTCTGCTCCCCAGCAAGCAGCCCGCCACTGCATATTTACAGCCAAAGTTAACGGAGGCTCCGTTACTGGCTAGGAACACAGAAGCAGCCAGCTTCTGGGAGAAATCAAGGGGAACACATACATCACTGCTAGCACTGAAGATGGAGCTTGCCAGAGTTCCTCAGGGTTATTTGTCTTGTTGCCTGCTCCCAGGAAAGCTGGCACAAACCAGCCAATCCATCCCCAGCATCCACCCCACTCCCCTGAAACACCCACCAGCAAGCTGGACAAGAGACGCTGCCTCAACAGCCAATGCCTGCTCCCAGCATGGATGGCCGCAGCATCTGTGCTTCCTTAGCAGCTATGGAAGAACTGGCAAGAGATGCTACTGCTGCCAACAGCAAGGCGCCAGCATTTCTGGACTCCCGCTCGAAAAAATAAGGAGCAAGGACTCACTTAATCAAAGCAGCACTTTAATCAGGCTTTATCAGTGAATGAGGGCCACAAAGCATGCTATCTAAACGCCTCAGAGAGAAAAACTGCATATTCAGGCAATCGGATACCAGTACATAAAATGAACCACAGCTCAGTGCCAGCTAAGCCAGTTGGACTCTGCTGCAAGCCAAGAAGGTGTTCCACATTTGCCTCTGCTACGAGTAAAGTCAGAATTTGGCCTGCTGTTCCTCTCTCCTCAAAATCTTCAAAAGCTTTCAAGGATTTTGTGTTTAAACTACAAAAGGTACAATGTCAACTGAGGAACTAATGCTGCAACAGACAGCCTAAGCCAAGGAGCCAGGAGATTACTAGCAGGTTAGCATACAATGACCAAACAGCTGAAGCTCCACCATGAGCTGGCGTCTGATTTTCTTACCACCCCAAGGGACTTTTTCTGGGGGCAGGTTATTTTTAATTTCATTTTTTTTAATTGCAGCTTGTCTTAGCACTTCAACAACGCACTCAGGCATCCTTGAGCGACAGCTACTTTTGGAGACAAGCTACCAACTAGATGGGACAGGAGGCCTGACCACGTTGGTGGTGGGCTTTGATATAAATTCAATCATCACCCACAAACTAAGACACAGGAGGTTTGCTACTGTCCCACTGACAGAAGTTACCCATGCCCAAGCTGGGAAACACACACATACAGTTCTCAAACAAAGTCCAGCTGCTACTAAAGACAAACTTCAGTAAACGGTAAGGTTTAACACAAAACAGCCACGGGGAGGGCTCAAGCCCTCAATGGTGGAGAGCTGAGCAGACAGCTGGTGTGGAGGAGTTTATTTTCAGAAACAGCTGCACCTTTCGACATCTTAGGATATTGCTAGGTTATTGCCTTATAAGCCAAAGAATATGGGCTTTTCCTCCCACTTATGTACCAGTGCTTCCAACGCAAAAGCTGCATCATACCTGACTCAGCTTTACTTACCTCTGTACATGCCAAAGTAGCCTTCTGACCGAATTGTTTTAATGAGGCAGTCAGACCTGCAAAAAAACCAGAGTCATAAATCACAGGAGCTCAAAGGTGGTTGAGAGCAGAGAAAAACAAAACAAATCTCTTGGAGTGGTTTTCATGTACAATCTGTCAGCAAAACCCTGAGCTGAGAAGGCAACTGCGTCAGCTGCTGAACACACTATTGTTCAGGCCTGAGTCCTGTTTCAGCTCCTAATTCACAGGGGCTTTGAAACCCCAGCTCACCCCGCACGTGCTGTCTGCTTTATAGAAGCATAAAAGGGACAAGTGTCACTGCAAGGGCTGTTTATCCAGGGTTCCCTGTGGCAAATGTTCATGAGATGCTCTAACAAGCAGATCCCCATGCACATGTTTTTAAATCCAGCTCTGGAAGGGAAATAAGGGGGGCTCAAAACCTTCAAGGTTGACTTGCTTGATTTACTCCACGCAATTCGACACAAGGCACACAAACACTAGAAGACCTGAACAGTCAGTAATCTGTGACCTCCCATGCAGATTAAAGCATTTACTTTTAACACATCGGGTCCCATAGCAGGCAGCGAGCACTCAGGTTCTTGCCCAGGGGAGAGCGTGGCAGGGTGCCGCAGAGGTCTGCTCCAAGGGGAAAACAGTCTACTGCAAAGGGGTACAGAGTGCTGGGATGGCTCAGAGTCTTCTGAAGGCACAAACACACACCTAACAAATCCAGAGGCGCAGCTCAGGAAGGCAGCGCAGATCCTCTGGCAGCGGTTCCCTGGCTGGAACATGGCTGCATGAAGCCCAGGTGCTGGCTGAAGGTTGCTCTGGGGTCTTTGGGGAGGGACAGGTACTTGCTGGGCCATAGGCGAAGGGAGAGGTGCACTGGCATGCATGCATGCATACATACATAATTAAGGAACAAAAGGCTCTTCTAAGCAGAAATAAGGAGAGCGTGGCTGATGAAAACAAGAATACATTATTTCCAAGAGATTTGGCAACACAAGGAGCAAATTTCATCTCTGTTCTGTAATAGTGCTGAGGTGGGAGAGAAGGAAATATGGAGTTCCCTCGAGGCCTTTATGGCCCTACTTGGGTCAAGACTGTTCTAGGGCATCCCACATTATTTGTGAAGAGCCCATCCTCCGTTGCTGCCAGTTGCAGAAATGAGTTTCCTCTCTCTTCTGGGATTCTCCACACCCTTTTGGACCCCGTCTTTCACACACTCCATCCCAGCTCCCGCAGCTTGCACACACCCATCCCATTCTTGGAAGCAGCCTCCCCACCCCCCCCATTCAGAAGACCCGGAAATCTAGGGGCACCTTTCTCCTATCCCTGCCATCCAGCTCTTCCACCGCAGTGCTGGAGGCAAGGCATTTTTCCTGAGCCAGCGGTGCTGCTTTGAACAAGCTGTGGCAGAGAGAGGAGCGGGAAGAGCTGCTCCTCACCATGTTCACGCAGCCCTGCTGCCTCACCATAAGGCTTGCATGTCACTCCCAGCCTCATAAGCTGCAGCAAAGAGAGATGGAGCCAAGGCCATGTCCTTTCTCTCCCTGGAAAAAAGGGAGCCGACAGCCAGCTAAAACTATACATAACATACCCTGGGCTGCACAGCCCGAAAGTCCAGCTCTCTCCAGCCCTCAGGGCTGCTCCACTGTGGCTCTTTCAAGAGAAAGGCTCCCCTGATGCCAACGGTCTCTCAAGCTGAGCAGAAGCAAGGCATGCTGTCTTAAAGCAAGACAGACAAAGTTTTAAATGAACTTGCTTCCTTCCTGGGTGTTCAGCAGACACCTTTGAGACGTGGTATTGATGGGCATACAGTATTTCCCAAAAAATAAGCCCCTGTAACTGGGGAGCTCAGACAAGCCTTCCCAAATCCCTAGCTAAGGGTGTCTCTGAGGACACACTCCACGCATGGTAACAGCATCCTCTAAGTGCCTTTCCCTTGACTGCTCAGGTAGGACACAGGACGGCCTGATGTTTATCTAGAGGATGCGTTATCCCCATTGCTTCCTTGTCCCTGCTGGCCCCTCGGCCCCCAAAAGATCCTTTCACTTGTCCCCAGCAGCCTAAGCTCACTTTCCTACAGCTGCTGCCAATGCCAGAGGCACCCCTCTAGCATTACTCATCCACATCCAGGCTTTGTTGCAGACTCTCAGCAGGAGCCAGCTCAAATATACAGGGCAAACCCTGCGTATTTCTTAACAGCACTTCATCTCACAACGACTCCTGGCTATGGAGCAGATCTGCACTCAACTGCTGGAGTCGCATCTCCTACTGAGCCTACTGCGCTCTCTTCTGCTGAGCTCCCCTCCACAGATGAGGCATCCAGGCATGTACTCTCAAGAGGAACCTACAAGCCTCCACCCTGCCCGAACTCCTGTTGCTGTCTCTGGTCAGGTCAGGGGGAGAAGCAGTGCTGAGGGCAGAGAAGCAATGCACAGCAGGAGCAGGACACAACAAAAAGGAGAGGCGAGGCAAGGCAAGACAGGAGGCCACGTCCTGCCAGCACGCCTGGGCACACAAACAGTGCCGGGAGCAGAGTGCTGTAACTGTCACGGGAAGCATCAGTCTGCCATGGCATGCCAAAGCCTACAACCTGAGCTCACGCATAATTACATGTCGTCAGCTAGAGCAAGGAAGCCCGGAGACTAAAGCCATGAACACACAGAGCATTTCCTTCCTGTTCCCACTCTGCCTCAAATTCTCCTGGCCAGGAAAGAGGAAAATACTGGTGTGGAGGAGCATGGAGCAGGTAACACTACTTCTGAACAAAGTGGGAGGAGGACAGGACACACATCATCATTCCCAGTCCCTTCTACTCCCTCAGTGACACCAGCACTTTCGGAAAACTAAGACCTGACTCTGGTTTCTAGGATAAAGTATCTTGTGCTGAGTGTGGTGCACATCTACAGTAGATACAGAGCCCAAAGCATCCCACACAAACCCCAGCTGAATTTGGTGGGCTGGATATATTCATGTTTTCTTTTCCTACAGCCTGCAGCACTTCATTTCTCTGGACATAGGACTGCTGGGGTAACTACAGCATGTGTCAATCTATGATCCTTCAAAAGGTCTGCATGCAGTGCTCTAGGCTGGGAATGGGTGACTGCTTTCTCTTTTTAAAACTGACACAGCAAAGGAAGTGACAGTAACCTCCAATATGAGTCACGGAAGCAGAGTGCTAGAAATTCCCTCACGCACCTGATTGTGGCCCAGCAGAAAACCGGACGGGGCTGCTTGTGTTTTGGTCCTGAGCCCCAACGCTGCTCCCAAGCAAGGGATGCAAACAGATATGTCCTCTGCAGAGATCTCACCTGCTGGGCTCAGCAGCCTGAAATGCTGCTTTACTTGCCTTATCCGCTCTACCACAGCTTGGTTCAAGATTGTCCCCTGGCTTTGCTGGGGACAGCCCAGTTCCTAGAAACACTGAACTCACCTGAAAGAGATAACAAAGTGGAAGGACTCCCCACCGAAAGCCCCAGGGGATGTTGCCTGTGCAGGCGGTACTCACATGCTGGTGTACATCCGCTGGCCATTTTGCTGGTTCTGCAGGCGAGTTTTTGCCAGGTCAATGGGAAATACACAGGTGACCCCAATCAGCCCAGCTATCCCTCCATTGATCAGCTTGGCAGGTAAACTGCAAGGGGACGAGATGCAGAGAAACAGATGTCTTAGCAATGGGATAACACCGCAGAGGGTAAGAGAAAAGAATGGAGCTCCTTTGCACGACCAGAGTTAATACATCACCGTGCAACAACGCTGTCGTCCCCCAGCATAAAGGGCGCTCTGCCTCAAGGCCAAGCTTGGCCCTTGCTGAACATACAGGAGAGGAGGGGAAAGCAGCACATAGCATCAGCACACACCCCTGATGAGTGGAGTCCAACAGCTAAGCCACGCATTGCTACGAGCAAGGAGAAACCCTGTTCTCCAGGACCCAAAGGTTTCTGTTGTCCCTAGAGGAGAAAAGACAGAGGGCTGGACTGTCTACCACGTGGACAGACTTCAGCTAGGGCCTGATGGCATCCAAGCCAGCAAGTTTACTGGCAAATGCTTTTCAGCACTGCAATCAGATACACATCTAAGGAGAGGTTTGTGACACGTCAGCTCTGCCATCAGGAGGGAACTCGCCCAGAAGCAGCGCCTAGCTGACAGCGGAGAAGCAGACGGTTGCAGCTCCAGGAAACTGTTTCCAGACCCACTGCCTGGGGTTAGGGGAACACACATAAACCAACAGCCTGGCGAAACCACTGAACTGGCAGCCTGCACAGCCGCAGACGTGGTGACGTGAGCCTATACCTCTCTGAGAAATCAAAACCTGACTGCCTGCATGTGCTTCCTAAACACAGGGCTTTTTCCGCTCGCCTTTGTGTTCCCATAGGGAGCTCTTGCAAGCGGCACTGAGTGAAAGCCAGATCAGCTAAACACGGGTTCCCAGAAAATTCAATTACGAAAGACGTCCAGCACTTACATGCTTGATAAACCACTACCCACAGAGACAAAGGAAGCCTGTTGGAGCCAGCTCCCTCCAATAAAGCACAGGATATGGCTCCCTGAACACAGAACGTGTCAGATATTACACTGACAGCTGACAGCAGTCCTAGATTGAAGCTGGGTGAGCCAGCAAGGCTGAGTCCTCCCACAGCAGGAACAGCCACGCTGCCTTTCATGACAGTGAAACGATGCTCTGACAGAGGCACAGACTGCATTACCCACTGGAAGCAGCAGCGGTGAGGCTGGCCGTGGCACGGTGGGGTGAAGCTCTGCAAACACGTTCATCCCGCAGCAGCCTTGCAGAGTGCTCTGCATTGAGAGGCAACTGCAGAGAGGATCAATAAGCAGCAATGCTGAAAGAGCTGCCTCTCAGCTTCAGGCACAAGGGAAAGGCAGGATATGGAGACTTGGGATTTCAACTTGAGGTCTCCCTGGGGGAAGCAGACAAGAACGGTGGAAAAAAAAAAGTCTTTGCCCACAAGTGCTAAGCATGACCTTGACACTCCAGGAATCTCCTTTCAGCCCTCCACTCTCCTGCAGCCACAGCTCCTTCATCCTCAACACTCACACCAATACAACACAGACATGCAGCCCCAGGGCTGGCACAGCTGGAAGAAGAGGTGCCAAGGACAGGCAGACAGATCTGAGCTCAGCCCGCATCCCCAAACAAGATGGTAATGACAGAGATTAAATCAAGCACAGCACATTCACGAGGCAGGCACAAATCAGTGCATGAGCTCAGCGCGGGGCCAAACTGCCAGATCTCACCAGCTTGAAACTCTGTTGCCTCGGGGATCTTTGCACCACAGTCTGAGAGGGAATAGATTTGCCTGCAACCTCCTATGCTCAACTTGTTCTCAAGGCATGGGAAAATTTCAAACCGTAAGCTTCACATCATGGCTCTCTCCTTACTTAACCCATAGTCACACTAAAAGAGGAAGTTAGAGACCAGATAAAAGCGTGTCAAGATGGAGGCACCACTGGGAAGGAGACCATATCAAGAGAGGTTCACATCAGCCTCCCCAGATTCAGCTCCGAAGTCACTGCTGGCCGGTCACAGACTGCAAGGCACAACCAGTGCCCCTCTTCAGCCTCAGCACCGTGACTGCTTCTCTAAGTGTCCCTGAAACACCCGGGGCAGGCAGACACTTGCCTCTCTAATCCTGTTCCAAGAGTGAAATAATCACAGGGTTTATATCAGGTGGGAGTGAGACACAGACACGTGGCAAACATCTTGCCTGCTGGCACCGTAAGTGCAAAAGATTCCCCAATTTCAGCACAGACCCCAGCAATAAAGGGGAACAGTCTGATGTGCCTGGGCAAGTCAAAAATTTAGGCAACGTGGGCTGCAGAGAGCCTCTCATTCTATTCATGGGTGAGAAACCCTTGCTCAACACCCCATCACACCTGAATCCAACCATCCAGGTTACCCCACATGCACTGTGGAGGGAGACTAGTACAGACAGACTACGCAGCAGTATCTGGCAAGATGCTGAGATCAAATTCCACGTGCACCACTGCAGAAATGCCATCCCCTTGATCACACCTGGCAGCAAACCGCTGCTGTGGATTTAAGTCTTTTGGTATCAGTCTCTTTTTGCTAAGGGACGACAGATGCACGCTGCAAGGGAAGAGGGAGTTCGGTAGATCCTCCAAGCTTAGACAGACCTCCTTGGCTTGGCTGCCTGTGACCACTGCAGGCTTGTGAGAGAGGACCTAAGCAGGAGAGGTGAAGGATTTGGGGCATGGAGAAGAACCCAAGACAGAAGGCACTGCAACTCAATCAAAAGCTTATTCCCTTGTGACTAAATCATCCCACTTTTCAACTCAGTGTGTTCTGCTCTCTCATGGAATGAGAATCCACTGTGCCTGGTCTCTCTGTCCTGTTTAGCTTCTGCACAGCTACTGCCTCTCACTACCTAGGCGCGCAGGGCTTAGTGAAACAGGGATAACACAGGCTAGCACACAAAAAAAGCCATTTGCTCAGTTTAACACGAGCAGGGATAGAAAGGCATCCCAGTTCTCCTAGTGCTCCTCCTCAGCCCTTTTAACTAGTCCCTGTAGCCAGCCAGCTCATGTTCACACTTCAAAGAGCACATCGGAAGGGCTGGGGCAGATCTCGGAGGATACATCTCCACTTCCTTCAAAATACCAAGCTTCAAATGGCCACAGACATCTGGTCCTCTTGTTCTGCTGAGGCTATCAGGGACATACACGAATCAGGCTCCATGGAGGTGAATCTCAGCACACCCTAAATGGGTATAAGAGCGCCAAGTGCTCTCCAAATTGGGTAACTGATGACGGGCAAGCCTAGGCACATAAACACTCCATGATGCTGTCTTGTTATCAGTGCAGCTCAGGACTGCTTTCATTTGCAGAAGGCAGGCATGCAGGAAGATATCCTAATCATGGCAAACGCTACAAAGCGGCAGCCCTCTTGCCTGTAGCATTCAGGCATTGCCAAGTCCTCTATCATCAGGTTTCATTCACCCACCTAACCCTTCTGTCCTGAACTGGTAACCTGGAAAAGTGGATGTTAGAAGAGGACCACCACAAAAAAAGCCATGGAAATCCCACAGCATGTAGGATTCATTTATCTGGGGCAACTTCACAAGCAGCAGAAAGTTGAAACCATGTGCAAGGCTGTGCAGACCCATCTGACACAGCTCTTAGGCAGCTACAGGTACAACTGTATCTTCCCAGAAAACTCATCCCACTTCATTTCCAGGGAAGACTCAAATGCAGCCTTTGCATATGCCAGGACCAATGCTCTTAAGTTCCTGCTGCGCACTTAAGTGTCACTAATTATTGTTGGTACTTCATGTTCCTGCAATCACTGAAGCATTGATGGGCTTTAAAAGAAGGGCACAAAACTGCATCTACACGGACTTTGTAATTACAAGCACTGCATCCTCAGCTGGTCAAGGAGCTGGCTTTGCTCCCTTGATGTCAGCAAGCTGAAGTCAGCAGGCCAAGCTGACCTTTGAAACAGGAAGCAAAAAGGAACAGATCCGTGCAGGGTAAAAAGCAGAGGGCAGAAAGAAAAAGGCAATGGTAGAGAAGAATTGAAGAAAGCAGAGATGGGACAACATGGCAAAGACAGAAAATAACAGAAGGCTGAAAAAAAGCAGGTAAGAAATGAGCAGAGAAGGAATCAGAACTGTTTAAGGCCAGAGGAGACGACCGGGTGATTTCCTCCAACCTCCAATATCACAAAAGGGAGTAAGTTTGAAACACTTTAAAAGAAAAATCTACAGCACAACCAGCAACTCAAAAATTTTTGAAGAAGTTACCTGATCTGTTTATCAGCCATTTAATTCAAAGTTGATCTTGTTAAGAAATGAATTTATTCCTTCAAATCGTTCCTTAATTTCTTTTTCAGTCACTTCTTCAGTTCAGTTTCTTCCTGGGATAGGAGAGAAAGACACCAAGGAGTCAAAGTTGAGACACACTGCCTGAAGCTCAGGTCCTACTGGGCAGACTGCAGGGTGAGGCCAGCCAAGGAATGAGCAACTTAGGGGAGCACCTGGTCTCCTCTGAGAGGAGACTGAGCTCCAGAGGGAGCCTTATAAATGTATGTGTGTATATAAATATAGAAGCACATATGGAGAGAAGAGCTGCCAGAGTCATCAGGCTCCAGCAGCACGTGAGGAAGAGCAGCAGCAAGGCAGTGCGCAAGCTCTGCCCAGCATCCAGGACAGACCTCCAACCCTCTGCAGGTCCACACCGCCATCCCAAGACAATCACCTGCCATTGCAAGACATGCTCAGCACTTCCCTCCAATACATACATGCTGTTTCTAAAGGACCGTCTTCAAAAACCCGCTCCTCCAGTGGTTACAATCCCTCCTCTATTTCCCAGCCCAAACCGATAGCCCATGCTCAGTCTTGTCCCAACATTGCCTTTTAAGTAGCGCCTCTCCCTTCCCAAGCTATTGATGTGACTTTGCCCTTTGGACCACTCCTTTCAGCTCAGTGCCTACTGGCACAGCACTGAAGCTCCAAGTCTGCAGGAATGGTTCTCTCTAAGACTCCTAACTGCTACTGTTTAACGAGAGCTGGTAGAAGCCACCACACAAAGAAATCTGGACACTGGAGAAAATTTCAGAAGCGGCCACAACTTTTCTGGAGGTGTCCTTGTCTTCTCCTCACCTCCAACCTGGGAACCAGGTGCCCCATGCTTTCATCTGGCATCTCAGTGGCACTCAGCTACTCTCCTCCCTCTCCCCTTTCAGCTGCCACATGGGTCGTGAGCCAGAAACAGAGGAGGTATCTTTGCCCTTTGCCTCTGGAATGAAATTTGCCCCTTAATTGCAGATTTCCTAAGCCACACAGAATCTCACACCCAACAAGGTAGCTTTCAGGCTGACACTTCTGCTCTGGAAATACATGAGGGTCAGAGGCGTCTTGAGAATAAAACGTCCCTGAAAGCATAAAGAGCTGGTGATGGTGCAAACAGGTACAGGAAGGAGAGCGGGTGAGGTTACACACAGTTCAGCACTGACCTGCTCCCCTCCCTGTTACGTCAAGTGCCAAGGACAGGGCAGCATAAAAGCATTTGCACAGTCCCATGTTTGGACGATACGAGACTAAAACTGCTTTTTCAGCCAAAGCCATGAGAGACCAGCACATGGAGCTGGAGCTCCTCTCCAAAGCGCCACACTAGAACCTCACCCACTGCACTACACTATTACACCTTCCATCCCTTCTGTGACCCCTCTTCAGATAGCTTACCTGATCTTGACTAAACTGTGGAAGCAGACCTTAGAAACCTCCAGATTAGCTAAGCCTGCACTTTCTGAGTGAAAACCGCTTACCCCTTTCACTGCATTTGCCTTCATATGCATGTCCCCGAGAGTAGTTTGGTTCCAGCTGATCTAACTCTCTATCAATTTAACCAGAATAAGACCAAAATATAAAAGTATAGGGAAACCAGTCGCTGAAAGCCTGTAACCCTGGCATAAACAAGCCCTGAATCATGAAAACTCACTTGGTAACATCTATAACCTCAATAAGGTATTTGTGTTTACTGAGGCAGCAGCTCTGACAAAACACACACACCAAGTGGTCCTGACACCCCGCTCCAAACTCTGGCAAACTCCCCCCTTGCTGCCCCAGCTGCACCCTTCCCTGCGGAGGGGCATTCAGGAGGCCAGGCACCCATCGCAAAGGGCAACGCAAGAGAAGACAGCAAGGCTGCTAACATTCACCACTGACAGGTAGCTGAAAGAGTGAGAGACTGAGATGGACACACAGACGTATCACAGGGCTATTTCTTACCTGCTGACACAAGTAGGGTGATGTGGGTGGGAGAAGACGCTACTGCACTGAAAGGGACTTGGGACAGCTCAGTTCAGCTCTCCTCCTTTTTTTTCTTTTGGCTTTTGGCTCCAGCTATCCACCTTCCCAGTAACTGCAGTGCCCGCCCCAGCTGCCTGACCCAGCTGGAAAACTGCTGCTGCTTCCCACTAGGGAACAGAAGCTCCCGCTGCAGCTGCACAGCACAAAGGGATAAAAACAGTTTTCCTAGGTTTAAAACTGGGCAAAGTTACAGGTTTCCTTGGTGCTGGCTGTACAGCCAGCAAATGCCAGGACTCGTATCATCTCCCCTAATAAAAGCTACTCAACTTGTGGACGAGCGAGGGGAAGCGAATGATGTGATCATTTTACAGCAGACACCAGCACTTCATAACTGTTTACACAGCACCTGGCACAGCGGAGGCCCCTGAATGTCCGTGGTCAGGCGATTTTAACGCATTAAGGGATTTTAATGCACTGAGGTGGAAAGCTTAGTTGAGCTCTGTTTGTTTAAACAGAGCTCCAGCAAATAACCATTTGCAAAACAAACCCAAAGTCACTGCAAACTCTATCCAAGCACTTTGCTGTAATATACAGAACTCTTCCGAGTTCCTTAAAAGATGGTGAACGATGCAGCCTCCAGCACCCTGGCCAGGGAGTTCCTGCGAAGAGCTGGTCCCCAGTCCCTCCCAGGGCAGGAAAATAGCTGCTGCAGTCCCAAAGGCTGAGAGGAGGAAATACACAGGCTGGGAAAGAATGCCGGTAATTTTATAGGATATTTAAAAAACAAATCCACAACAACATACAACATTTAACCAAGAAAGAAAAGAGATTAAGTAAAAGCCTAAGCATATCTCCCCAGGAACATGGTGCTCTTGGGAAGCCAAAAAATGCAAACAAAAGCAGGCAAGCGAAGCTTCTGCAGCCAAGCAGGGGTGCAGTTCCAGGGCTTCCTATGGGAGCAGGGTCAGGAACCAGGGCTTGCATCTTCTCAGGAAACCTCCCATCAACACCTGCACTGAGGCAGCGCACAAGCCAGCAGCACCGAAAAGGTGCTGATGCCTCAGAAAGTCTTCGTATGGTTAAACTTCACAGCCAGGCAGACAACAGCACTGCTGAAACTGGGAACCTGCACGGCACGAGAAGCACAGGAGCTGCAAGGAAACTGGTAGCAGGTGGCCAGGGGAAACACGAGCCGCCAGACACCCACCTCAAAGCCAGAGAGCCTGAGCAGGCCTCATGGAAGGTGGGTCCTAAATCGAACATCCCGTAATTAAGAGAGCGAGAGCTGCATGTGCAATGAATTATGTGGCATTAATTCTTTCCCAGAGTGCTGTTAACACAGCTAGGCGTGGATTAACGCTCCATTACCCACACACCAGGACATCCCTTCTACATTTATTAAAATGATCAAGCAAATTAGTTTCAGAGTGACATGCACACCGCAGCACGGGGAATTGCCTCCATGCTAGCCAGAGAAAAGTGGCGCAAACAGCCCGAAGCTCTCACTGCTGCGTGTAGATAGCCCAGGAGTCTCCTCAACCCAGCCTCTCCCTTTTCCCAGCTCGCAAAATCCAGCTCCAGAGAGCAACACAGCAGCCAGACTGGGGGTACCACAATGCAAACCCAGACAGCTTTGGATGTACCTAGTCTTCACAGCCTCAGTCACTAGCAAAATGGTGTTATTTCGCTCCCCTGCCTTGCCAAACACACTCATCCACTTACACTACCCAGATGGTATGGTTTTCTCCAGGATGGCCAACCTTTCCACACCGCAGACCTGCCCGCACTCCTGACCAGCCTGGGGCACTGTGCTGCACTCTTCACCTTTGCTTCTCACCCTATCACCTGAAGGAAAAAAGTGCTTACCAGAGAATCACAGCCCAGCCCAGGGCATGGAGAGGAGCACGCCGGTCTCACCACATGCCATGTGTGCTGCTGGCAAGCTCAGACGGAGACACAGGCACCCAGCATCTCCACAAGCCAAGACATCACAGGAGAAGTAACAGGTTAAGCTTACCCACACCTCTTTGACCATGCTCATCACATTTGCTGCCACCGCACTGCCCTATGGCTGTAGGTTGCCACCTCTACCCCTAGATGGCACTTCTCTGCCCACAGTCTGACCCCGGGGGTCCCCACAGCTCCAGCACCCTCCTTCTTGCTCTGCTCTCCCTCTGCTAAGTCTGCCAGAGCCACTGCTGGCATCCTCCAAGCCAGGCGCAAGCTCTCTCCCAGTCCACCAGCACCGGCTCCTCGCCTCTGCCCTCCACCAGCCCTCCCAGTTTCCAGGCTCTGCCCTCCCCAGCAGCCCCACTCCGCAGCTGAGTGCAGCCTCTCGGCCACAGCCTGTCGGACATGGCAATTTATCCGAGCGCACACAGGCTGCTGTTTTGACAGAAGACCTCTAGCACACGTCAGCTGGTGCTGCAGCCGAAGGAGGCAATCCCATCCTCTCCCTACACCCAAACATGTGTTCTCATCCCCACTTCAGTGCCAGCACAAACATTTGTGCAGAGCGGTCAGGCAGGGATGAGGCAGAACCGGAGGCCAGCACATGCTGGAGCTGTCACTGAAAGCAAACATTTGAACTACAACCTTGACTTGAAAATAAACAGCAGAAGGGGAAAACAGGACTTGCTTCCACATATGTCCATGTGTCTTGCGAGCAGACAAACTCAGCACCCCAGCCAGAGAAGCCGACATCAAGAAGCAGGGCTCAGAGGGTGAGAGGAGGGAGAAAAGCTGCGCCAGCATCCACTATGTTGAGAGGACACAACCATGCAACCGCTCACGGTCAGAGACGGGGGTGGGGGGAAGCAATCAGCAGCCTAGTACTTGCTGGGAGAGGAGAAACCCTCCCGGATCAGCACACCACTTTCCTTCTCAGCGCAAACCCATTTGAAGGTGTGAACACCCTGCCAAGTTTCACTAACAACTGAAGCAAAGCTGCCATCACAGCAATAAGGTTTAGGGAGTGCAAACTGAACTGCAAATATTTCCTGAGAGAAGCTGCTTTCTAGATGCATGCCGGACACAAAGAACACACAGGAGTTCGCACCAGAAATCCACATCCGGGGAGAAGCTGTCAACTTGGCTCCCGCCTGCTCAGG